TTGTTTTTTTTTCACTTAATCCCTTCGCCTTTTTCACCCAGCCCTCCTACCCCCTCTCCTTTAACAGCTGTCAGTCTGTTCTCTGAGTCTGTTTCTATTGTGTTTGTTGGTTTATTTTGTTCATTAGATTCCACATATAAGTGAGATCATATGGCACTTGTCTTTCTCTGACTGGCTTATTTCACTCAGCGTAATACTCTTCCGGTCCATGCTGTTGCAAAAGGTAAGATTTCCTTCTTTTTTATGGCCGGGTAGTATTCCATGGTGTAAATGTACTGCAGCTTTTTATCCTCTCATCTGCTGATGGGCGCGTGGGCTTTTCCAGATCTTAGCTATTGTAAATAATGCTGCTATGAACATAGGGGTGCACATATTCTTTCAAATCAGTGTGTTTCGGCCTTCTTTGGATAAACTCCCAGAAGTGGAATCGCTAGATCATAGGCAGTTCCATTTTTAATGTTCTGAGGTCAGTCCATACTGCTTTCTAGAGGCCGCACCAGTCTGCGTTCCCACCAGCAGTGCAGAAAGGTTCCTTTTTCTCCACAACCTAGCGAACACTTGTTAGTTGATTTGTTGTGGTAGCCACTCTGACATGGGATTTCTCATTGTGGTTTTAATTCGCATCTCTCTGATCATTAGTGACATTAAGCATCTTTTCATACGTCTCTTGGCCATCTGTATGTCCACTTTGGGGATGTGTCTATTCAGGTCCTTTGCCCATTTTTAAATTGGATTGTTTGTTTTCTTGGAGTTGAGTTTTGTAAGTTTTTAATAAATTTTAGCAAACCCATTTTTAAGTTATCTCACTAAACAAAAGCCTAATATCAACCTCTATGTAAGAGAACACAGTATAAAGACACTTGCAAGCACAGCAGAGGACATACTTTTCATGAAAGGCATGCAAGGATTGAGATTTCCACTTAACTGTAGGTTCACAGAATGCACACATTTGCAGCGTACCTGGTATCTTTACCGGATCCCCAGGTGCGAACTCCACATCCACCCATGTTGTCTTCAGTTCTGATTGCTCTACAGAAAGAAATATTTCCTAAAACTGCAAGCTGGTCTCTAGTCAATCTTCAACTCAGAGAAGTTGATAATAAAAGCTAAATCAGGATCATCTCTTTACTAATATAAAGGCAACTAAATATTAACACATAACAGATTCATACTATGTACGACTAAGGTCTTAAAGTGAAAATAGCATTTATAAAGGAACTTACATTTTATCATTCCCACCATATCTCTCAAATTCCCGTTTTCCTCTTTGGTCAAAACGATCAAAAGCTCTGTTCCCGGGACCACCGCGGCCTCTGCTCCGCAGGCCCCCTCTTGGGCCTCCACGTCCTCTCAGGGGTCTGTCTCGATCAAATCTGTCAACTGGTCTAGGAAGGCATGGTATAATACAAAGTGGTGGATTAAAGAGCGAAGGCTTTTTTAAGAAAAACAAATTCTAGAAGGCTATTATGGCTGTAGTATATTGGAAAGAATGGTGGCCTGCACAACGAATTAATAGTTAACTTTTACTGAACACATACTATCCCCAGTGTTGTTCTGAGGGCTTCACATACAGTCACTTAACTCGCACAAACAAATCTGTAATATACGACTATTGCCCATAGCTGAAGAAACTGAGGCGCAGAGGAGGTAGGTAACTTGCCCAAGGTCACATGGCTACTAAGTGGGGGAGCCGGTGAGAGCGCGTCCTAGGCAGGTCTCTCTCTCTGAACCTGGTTTCCACATTTATAAAATGAGGAGGTTAGGACCTGGCCAGTGTGGCTCAGTTTGTTGAGCGTTATCCCATGCACCAAAAGGTCACAGGTTCGATTCTTGATCAGGGCACATGCCCAGGTTGCTGGTTTGGTCCCCAGTCCAGGTGCATGTGGGAGGCAACTGATTGATGTTTCTCTCTCTCTGTCTCCTTCCCTCCCTTCTCCCTTTCTTCCTCTCTCTAAAAATCAATTAAAAAAACACACCCACAAACATATTTTTTAAAAACGAGGTTAGATAAACTAGCTCTAAGATTCATTCCACTTCTAATACTAAATGTTTAAGTTAAATTTGGAATCTATACTAATAAAAGGGTAATATGCTAATTAGACCGGGAGACCTTCTGGATGTCCTTCCGGACAAAGCCATGTGGCAGGGCCAAGGCAGAGGCGGTTAGGGGCGATCAGGCCAGGAGGGAAGGGCAGTTAGGGGAGAACAGGCAGGCGGGGGGCGGGGGAGAGCAGCTGGGGGTGAGCAGGCAGGCAGGCAGAGGTGGTTAGGGACAATCAGGCAGGCAAGAGGTTAGGAGCAAGCGGTCCCGGATTGCAAGAGGCAGTCGGACATCCCCCGAGGGGTCCTGGATTGGAGAGGGTGCAGGCCGGGCTGAGGGACCACCCTCCCCCCTGCCCACCCCGTCAGCACAAATTTTGTGCATCAGGCCTCTAGTCTGATTCTATATTAAAGTCCCTAAAGCAGAGTTCTATAACAATGACCAAAGAAAAGTTAAGTTCTTAATCAGGCCATAAAAGAAAAAAAATATACCTAAACATTGCGAGGAAATGAAGCAAAACAATATACAAGGAAAATAATGCCAACAGTCAAAATCAGGTCTAAATTTACATGAAATCCAATCAGATATGGACAAAATTACAAATTCATTTAAGCTATAATAGTGATTGAAACTGACCCTAAATATAGACCTGTGTGTTCTGGTGTATTTTAAATCCTTAATCATTTTTTCTCTGTTCCACAAGTTTACTCCTACCCCCCATTAAATATATTCTCAATTGCTTCTTCATTTTCCCCTGATTATAAATTGTATCTTCTTTGTCACAGGCTGGTGAGACCGAGGAATCCTGTACCCGCTTGGGAAGCTTTGTTCTGCATGCACAAGCAGAAGGAAGAAGCTTGGAGCCAAGCATCTCGCTTTCCATACCTGTCATCCACTCTCGTACAGCAATCCTAATAACTAGACACGGGTATGTGTCACAGGTGAGGGAATGAAGTTTCTGTATGGGGGATGGGGCGCCAATGTTTAATGGGAACAGCTGGGGAAAGTGAAAAGGTTCTGGAGAAGGATGCGGTGATGGTTACACAACAATGCGAATGGACTTAATGCCACTGAGCTGTATATTTAAAAGTGGTTTAGCCAAGGCCAGATGTGCAGTGGTTAGACATCAGCCTGCAGACCAAAGGGTCATGGGTTTGATTCCTGGTCAAGGGCATGTATCTCGGTTACAGGTTCCCAGCGCAGGTCGGGGCATGCGTGGGAGGCAACCAATCAATGCGTCTCTCTCACGTCCGTGTTTCTCTTTCTCTCCTCTCTCTCCTTTCCACCCTCTCTAAAAATCAATGGAAAAATATCCTCTGGTAAGGATTAAAAATAAAAATAAAAAGGAAGAAAATAGGCAAAGTGTTTAAAGTAATCATCTCAGACAGTAAGATAGGTGGTTTAATTTTCTTTGTAATTTCATATGTTTTCCAAATTGTTTCAAGAGACTATAAATTATTTTTACTAAAGATCTTATGGACCTTTATTAATAGAAAAGTACTTTTAAAGAAATTATAAGAAAATATGTTTTCTGATGGCACATGACATAAAAAAAATTTCAAATTTCCTTGAAAGTAAAAATTCCTACATATTCTTAATGTGATAGTCTGAGAAGGGCACAAAACATCACTTCTGTGGTATTCCTGCCAGGTAAGCTCATTCCATGAGGAAATAACAGACAAACTCAAATTTTGAGCTGTTCTACAAAACAAACGGCCTGACCTTTTCCAAAAAAGTCAAATTTATAAAAGATAAAGGGAAACTAAGGAGCCATTCCAAATTAGAGAAGACCAAATGCAATGCCCATTTCTGGACTGGATCTGGAATCAGACTTTTTTTTCCTTTTGCTAAAAGTACATCACTAAGACAACTGGTGGAATCTGAACAGTCTGTGGATGACATAATTTAGAGAATTCAACAGAACTGTACTGAAGTCACTAAGTTTGATAATGGAACCATGTTTTTAGTAAATACATGTAAGTATTTAGGGATAAAGGGACATTCCTGCACCTTCCTCTCATCTAAAATGACCAAGAAAAAAGTTGTATGTGTGTGTGACACACAGAGAGAGACTATGAATGTGCAGGGGGAGAGACTGAGAGAAAAAAGAGGAGGAAGAGGAGTATAACAGAGCAAATGTGGTAAATGTTAACATTTGGGGAATCTGGATAATAGCTTATGGAAACTCTTTGTATGATTCTTGCAACTTTTGTATATCTGAAATTATTTTTAAAGTAAAAAGAAAAAAAAATCCCTCCATAACCCCACATCCCACCCTCCCTCTCCCTCTCCCCCTAGCCTTGCCTGCATGCATGATTTCATTTAACAGGCATCTTTCCATGTTACTATATAAAGACCTATTTTATCCTTTTTAAAGACTCACAGTTTTGCTACTAAAAAAAACCCTGCAAACATGAGTTTGTGCCTTTGAGCTATAATTTTCTTATGTCCACAGAATGAATTCCTGAAGTGAGGAAAACAAAACACAAACGCTTCCTAAAATAAGCAGCTCTGTTCAGAAGCTCTTTTTTTTTTAAATTTTTTTAATATATTTTATTGATTTTTTACAGAGAGGAAGGGAGAGAGTTAGAAAGCTAGAAACATCGATGAGAGAGAAACATCGATCAGCTGCCTCCTGCACATCTCCCACTGGGGATGTGCCTGCAACCCAGGTACATGCCCTTGACCGGAATCGAACCTGGGACCCTTCAGTCCGCAGGCTGACGCTCTATCCACTGAGCCAAACCGGTTTCGGCTAGAAGCTCTTTATAAGCATGCACACAGGCCATTACACAGCAAATTTGAAGCAATCACCAAAAAAAGGCAGAATTAAACCTTTTTCTAGCCCCCACCTCCAACGTGGGGGCAGATACACCACCTCAATGTTTTGAACGTGTAACTGCCAGGGAACAGAGCTACAGAAGTCGCTACCTGCTCAGTTCTCTCGCACTGAGCTAGTCTGCTGGACTTTCTTGTTTTTTAGGCTTGTTTTAATGGGCTCTAGTATAGCTTTACAAAGCTAAATTCTTTAGTTAAAACTTGTAAACGGGATTAGTAGTCAAGAAGTTAAAGGACTGCCGGCTGGTGTGGCTCAGTGGTTGAGTGTCAGCCCATGAACCAGGAGGTCACGGTTCAGTTCCAGTGAGAGCACATGCTGGGGTTCCGGGTTCAATCCCCAGGAGGGGGTGTGCAGGAGGCAGCCGAACAATTATTCTCTCTCATCATTGATGTTTCTATCTCCCTCTTCCTTCCTCTCTGAAAGCAATTTAAAAAACAAAAAAAAGAAATTCATCAATAGTCTAAATTAATAATACTAAATCAAAAACATAATTATATCCCTAGCCTAAACTTCAAAAGAAACTTTGACCACTTGAACATACTCCTGTGCAGTATTTTTATGAGTGCTTTTCATAGTTAGCAGTAAAGAATTCATTTTTTATCATAAAATCATTGCCTGAACCAAGACTTAATGTCATTTAGAAGGAAAATGGAAGATCCTTCATGTGGCACCTAAGGTAATATGATTTGCTACTTAGATTGGCAAATTATTCCCAGGACTGGCACCACAGAAGGTCACAAAGGCTAGCAGTTCTCTGAAAACTGTGCTGGTTCCTAAACCCTCCTAACCCAGACCTGTTTGCAGTACATACTTTTCTTCTGTAACCTTCTCAGCTGTGAAGTCCGCCTGCCTCTCGGTCTCATAAGGTTGATATTCCCTGTAGGATCTCCGCTCGGCTCTATCCAGTGTCACCTCTGTCCCCCGGCTATCATTCCATCCTTGCTGCTCCCCTCTTCTAGGAGTTCGCTTCTGGCCTGCAAGCAAACATCAAAGGGGAGAGGTGAACTCGAGGTCTACAGCAGCACGTTATTTACAGGTACTTTCACATTTCACTCTTTTCGAAACCAACGTCATGGGGAAATGTAGAAGTTTAGAGAAGGAAAGTTGCGGATATTACTGCAGGCAGCATCAACTACTTTTTAATAAAAGTTAAGTTACTACTGAATTAGTAACTGGCCTACCAAAGCTTTCTCTTATGTCCTGAAAAGCATGATAAAGTTAAACAGACTACACCAACTAACCTGCAAGTATAGGTATTGCACAATGACTCTGTGACAGCTAAGGATATAGATAATTGCTAACTCAACGACGTTTCACAAAAGCAGCTTTACTGAAACATGGCAGCTACGCTACATCCAAAAAATTTTAGGATATCCTGTTCTTTAAATTTTATTTAGAACCCCAAGTATAGTTTCTCATCAGCTACTAAGGTCCTTGTTTTTAAATACAGCTATACCATTACCTTTTTTTAAATTTAGAAACAGATTTTTCTGCTATTTCCTGGTATTTATGATCATACTTCTCAAATATGAGGCCAAACTTGTCTAGCCAAATCATACATGGGCCAGTTAGGGCCCAAACAGGCATCTCCCATGCGTGGAGCCAGAACTCAGCTGGGGCGGGGACCAGGCCATTCCAGCCTTTTGCTCCCTCCTCTCACCATACTCTACTCGCCTCCAGTTCGATGCTTGAACAATTTTAAGCAGAGTCTGTGTCTGATAGGCATGTAATACCTGGTAAACATGTTCTGAAGAATGTCACTTCAAAATCATCTTCTAAAAATGTTTATCTTTCCTTTGTATACATTTAAAAGATCCCCAAACATTATTTATAATTTTATTACAGTACCTTTGACTTTTCTACAAATTACCCTTCAATTGGTTGGTTATATGGCTGTAAAAATGTTAAATGTATCTGAATTAATGAGTATTTTTTAAACAGCTGGTCTCCACTCCAAGTTAGACAAACATGACTCTTAAGGAAGATGTTTACACATATTTTTACATTTTCCTACTTAATATTTTCTATCTAAATTTTATAATTTGGACACATGTATTAACAAAGTTCCAATACCTTACAAATATTTCATTCTTTCTTCAAAACCCAAAGCACAAATAGAGGTACAATTGTTTCCCCACAATTCAGTGCTAAAAGATTAAGACTGCAATTGAACCTAGTTGTTTTCTGTGCTGGATCAGCAGCTCCAAGTGGATAATGCAAACATTGAATTTAACTAGCCTTTTCCACTAAAAGGCTGGCAAACGCAGTCTGTTCACTGATCTAACGCCAAGCCCACGAAAGGACAAAATACAATAAAATTTTCAATGAGATTTCTACAAAATAAAGTTGAACTTTGACTCAAAAACAATTGTTCTGAAAGCCTAAGAAAGGTAAAGATAAAACAGCCCCTGAGGACTTCAAGAATTTATTGAGCAAGGCTCACACCAGGGTCAATGTACAGTTGACTCTTGAACAACTTGGGTCAATTGAAAAATCCACATGTAAGTGGACCTGAGAAGTTTAAACCCAAGTTATTCAAGGGGTCAACTGTATATTACTAAATAGTGAAGGACTTAAAAACCTCAATCGGAAAATCTTATGATTTCCACATCCTTTTGAGATTAATAAATGTTTCCATTATATGTCAACATGTTTTGACTTTGTTTCTTGACTACGCTAAGTATTCACTCACAATATTCTAACTAAATTAAATTTGTTGAGTGTTAGAGAAGAACAGTCCATATAAATTAGGGCTACAAAACTTTGAGAGAGTAGCTCTCTAACATCCATTACAGATAAACTTAGTACAGTAACTGCGTAGACAGAAATTAATGAGCTGAAATAACACACACTTGAAAAAAGAACTAGAAAGACAAAATTTCCATTCCAACACCAAAATTAAAGAGCTTTAATATAGTTCTCAAAACCCAGATCACCTGGATCATGAACAATTGACAGAAAAAAGTTATCAACATACTAGATTACAAAGCTAAGTTAAAGAAGCAGACTGAAACCCAGTTTACATCATTTAAATTTAGAAAGAAAAAAAAATAGGCCCAGCTGTGGTGGCTCAGTGGTTGAGCTTTGACCTATGAACCAGGAGGTCAGGTGCGGCTGGATCCCCAGTGGGGAGCAGGCAGAAGGCAGCGATCAATGATTCTCTCCCATTGATGTTTCTATCTCTCTCCCTCTCCCTTTCTCTCTGAAATCAATAAAAATATGTTTTAAAAAAATAAGAAAAAAGAAATAATTTTGTGCATTTATGTATATAAATATGAGGTGTTAACAGTAGGAACAATAAAGGATTTCCACTTCATACATTTCTAACTTGTTTAAAATTTTATAACAAAAATGCATGGCATTTTTAATTTTTTTAAAATATATTTTATTAATTTTTTACAGACAGGAAGGGAGAGAGATAGAGAGTTAGAAACATTGATGAGAGAGAAACATCGATCAGCTGCCTCCTGCACACGCCCTACTGGGGTTGTGCCCACAACCAAGGTACATGCCCTTGACCGGAAGGAATCGAACCTGGGACCCTTCAGTCCGCAGGCCGACGCTCTATCCAGAGCCAAACCGGTTTTGGCGGCATTTTTAATTTTAAAAGGGTTAAAAAGTGATATGTTAGTCGCACTAAATGCAGTTTAATTTAAGTTAAACTGCATTAAAATAAAGGGGGAGGAAAAGCTCAGCCTTGCTCTTTTATTACCATATTCATCTAAATAAACCTGAGAAAAAATAGAATACCACATGTACATATCTCAAGTCTCACTGTATTTAAACACGCTCATGAACTTACTGGCTTACCAAGGGGTCTCGAAATAACTTTTTAAATAAATTCAATGTATTATAGTGACTTATTTTCAAGCATATCGCTGGACTGCGCTTTTCACAGCTAAAGGTAAACATTACCTAGCTGCAGGAGTCAGAGCCCCAGTACTTCCATCAGCTGTTTTCCCAGGGTGGGGATGCACAAGTTAACTTTTCGGTCATTTTCCCATTACAGTTGGCAGTCACTATTATATTAGGTTCAGGTGCACGCAAAGTGGCAGGCATTTATGTAACTTACAAAGTGACCCCCCGCATGTCTACATATTACAGTATTATTGGCCGTGTTCTCTAGGCTGAACTTTACGTCTCCGTAACCATCCCGTAACTGCCAATTTGTGGGATGCACGATGTTTCCCAAGCAGGGCACTAGCCCGCAGAGCGGAGCCGCAGTGGTGGAACCGCGCGCCTCACTCTCACTCCTCTGGGGCAAACGCGAGGACCCATTTCAGGAGAACGGGAGCACAGGTGCGCTCTTGCTGCCGACCCCACCGAGGCAGGTCAGGTGAGGCTCGATGCTCGCGCCCCCTCCCTCCGCCGAAACAGCGGGAGGGGACTCCGAAGAGCCAGGCTGCAAAGGTTATCGAAAGCAGCGGAGGGAGTGCCAGGTTACACCTCCCACCGCCGCCACGTGCGGCATTTAAACATAACGCCGGCCGAGTGCTGCAGGCTCCGGCCAGGGGACCGGCTGCAGGCGCGAGC